TTCTTGGAGATTTGTAACTGTTACAGAAATATGAGTTTCACCTGAAAGCACTTTTCTTGGTCTTCCTGATGCTCACTGTTGCTTGACAAAGCATCTTCTTAGTGATGAAAGTCCAAATCCCGAAGCCAAGCTGCCAGAATGCACTTATGGTCAAGAAAAAGTATCTACGAAGAGAATTCCCGCAGAATTCGTTAAATCATATATGTAAAATTTTATAATGGGTCAGGGTGTAAATGGGCTAACATACCACATTTTGCCTCCAAAAAAGCGAACGTCTCAATTTGTTGAGTTTTTTCTTGAAGGTAGACAAACTCAGTTATTCAAAAAATAACAACGAACTACGTATAGCGAACGATGGTGCACTCAATAACGCATATGATAGAGTAGAGCGAGAGCAAGCGGGGACGGCCAATTAGTTTCTTCGTTCGCGACAGCAAGAAAAAAATCAAGTCTTATGTTGGCACATAAGTAATGCAACTTTTTATATAACTTTTGTCTTTTTGAACGTAACGCATTTTTGGCAATCCAAGGGTTATGATGTAAGCTTGTAATGCAGACATTTTTGCCGAATTTTACCGTCTTATGTAAGATTACGGTAGGTTTACGGTACTATGGGAAAAATTTTAGAATACGTCAAATTTTGCTGAAACTTGACCTGTAGGGCTTGTTCGACATGCTGATCACAAAAATGAGATCCAGCTCAAAAAATGAATTTTATTTTAGCGACATAAACATGATACTCGTGTTCACCCTATAGGATTACCCTACAGTGCAATCTTATAGCGAATTCTGTCTTTTCGCAGCTTAGTTATTGGCGATTGCCTTCAAAACTTGACGCATTTGGCTTGTTCAACTTCTCAAAGGCGTCCCACATTGACTTGTGTCTAAATTTCATTTCTTTACTGATTCCAATGTGTCCACTTCTAGCAACATGCTGCCTATAATTGCTTCTTAATATGTTCAATTCAGGTTTCGTAGGGCTTCACATTTGCCAAAAAACCGCAAACCTCGATTTTCAGCAGTTTTCAAAAAATGCTTAGATTTTTTGTACTACGTTATCGAAAATTAAACGCTTTGCGCAAACTTGCAGCTTACATCACGATCTACATGATGCCACAAAATGAGATTGCTACATAAAATAAGAGAAAAGTTACGGGAAAAGTCGCAAAACTTATGTGCCATCCTGATATTTGAAAGTCGACCTATTTGCGCGCGCGGAAGAGGGCTCAATAATGGTTTTTTTTATTTGCTCGTAAAAATTCTTGTGCAGCAGAAAAAAAAATCTTCGACTTCTAGGATACTCAATGGTGGCAGCCAAATATGTCCTCGTATCCTTATATGGAAGCATTAATACGCCAAAATTGATGGTTTTGGAGGAAACTTTGCGAAAATCTTCAAATTTTCTCTTCTGTCTCGATTGCTTTCTTTATAAGGCACTGTGCTTGTGATAGAGTTAACTTCGCTTAATCGAAAAAAATTTGATTTGTGCAAAAATGTTGTTTGAAGAGAGTAACATTTTCAATCAAAAAATCTGCAAATCGGACAGAACTTTCGGAACAACCTAATGTATGGGTTTGAAGGGCAGCTTGTAGGGCAGCCTTTGCCGAAATCATCGGTTTTATAAGGCGATTCTTTTTTTTTTCAAGCAGACATCGTTCCATAGGTGCGATAGTGTGAGAATTTGCTTACCCCCTCCCCTCACCCCTGAACCGGAACGGTGACCCCCTTCACCAAAAGCCGAGAAAAAAATCAACAGTGAGGTAAGGCTGAGCGAAGGAGATATTTGTACGGGAATTGTTCGTGTATCGAAAAAGAGGAAGAAGATTTATAGGGATTCACGAACTTCCAGAAGGAAAAAATAGTAGCTTCTGTAGCTGCACAGCAAATCAGCGAGAAAAACTCCGTGGTACAACGTTCCCATCTGGTTTCAGGGAATAAATATTAGGTTGGCACATAAGCAATGCAACTTTTTATATAACTTTTGTCTATTTGAACGTATCGCATTCATTTTTTGGCAATATAAGGAATATGATGTAAGCTTCTAATGCACACATTTTTGCCGAATTTTACCACCTTATGTGAGGATTACGGTAGGCTCACGGTACTATGGGAAAAATTTTAAAATGCATCAGATTTTGCTGAAACTTGGCCTATAGGGCTTATTTGACATGCTGATCACAAAAATGAGATCCGTTTCGCATGAAAAGGCCTCGTTCGTGAGATCAAAAGATGAATTTCATTTTAGCGACAAATGAATATGATACTCGTGTTCACCCTATAGGATTACCCTACAGTGCAATCTTATAGCGAATTCTGACCTTTCGCAGCTTAGTTATTGACAAATTGCCTTCAAAACTTGACGCATTTGACTTGTACAACTTCTCAAAGGCGCCCCACCTTAATTTGCGTTTAAATTTCATTTCTTTTTCACTGATTCCAATGTGCCAACTTAATCAGGTTTCGTAGGGCTTCATGTTTGCCAAAAAATCGTGAGACCTCGATTTTCAGCAGTTTTCAAAAAATGCTTAGATTTTTTGTACTAGGTTATCAAAAATCAAACGGTTTGCGCAGACTTGCAGCTTACATCACGATCTACATGATGCCACAAAATGAGATTGCTACATAAAGTAGGAAAAAATTTACGGGAAAAGTTGCAAAACTTATGTGCCAACCTATTAGTTGAGAGTCCGTTCAAAGAAGTACCTAGTAAAAGATGTGCCTAGTGATTTCTGGACCCTTACGAGTTTCAACATTAAAAAACATCAAATTTGTATGAATAGCTAGATGAAGATGAATAGCTGGCACACGGAAATAGTCATCATCGAAGCCGCCTCGTTCTCCGCTTCCAGAAAATATATGGCATGTCTGGAATCCGTTTAAAAAGTGCCTGGGTGAAGGGTGTGCCTAATAATTTTTGGAGATTTTCGAGTTTTGGATTCATTCATAACTTTTGAAGATAAACATCTTGTACACCGAGATAGTCACCGTTGGAACCGTCTCTAATATATACTGTATATATTTTCTGAAAGCGGAGGGGCGGTTCCGATGGCAACTATATCCTTGTACAAGTTGTTCATCTACAGAAAGTACGGATTTTTCTATCCTAAAAACTCGTGAATATTTATTAAGAAAACCTCCCACACCCTTCACCAGGCACTTTTTTCAATACATTTTAGGCAAATTATATATTCTCTGAAAGCGGAGGACAAGATGGTTTTGAAAACAATTTCCTTGCTGACGTTGCCATCTACAGAAATTACGAATTTTTTCTTCCAGAAAATTCGCAAATGCTCAATAATTGTCTAACTCTTTCCGAAACAAATGTTCTTGCATGCACATCTTCTATGTTTTTTTTTTCAAAAACAGGCAGAGTGATATAAAAAAGGAAAGGAAAGATGTAAAAAAATACAAGGTGCTGGTTAGGAACATGATTCCCTCCCCCCCCCCGGTCGACATTTTATAATCTCTCTACCAAGTACCCTTCACCCGGGCGGTTGCGACCGCTGTGACCCCTCCCATCCTGAAGGGGTCATTCTCAAATTATCGCACCTATGCATCGGTCTATGGGGCTCGTACAGTAATCAATTTTTAAAGTGGTCTGGGGGCGACCCATAGGGCATTTTGTTCCCATAATTATGGTATATAGACGGCGCGTTTCCCCATCTCCAGCTATTGGTTTGTTGGGGCGCATTTATCGTTCTGTAAGCAACTGATAGCTTTTTTTCTCAAATTGTTGATTCATGGGGACGCATAAGACGGTTATTTATCGAATTATTGGTCTCTATGCGGTTCTTAGGGCATTCTTGAAACGGGTTTGAGGATTTGTAGGGTAGCGTTTTTTGTAGTATCGGTCTGTATGCAGGCCATAGGGCATCTTCTTTCGAAGAACGGTCTTTAAGCGCCCTATAGGGCTTTTTTCAATATATTAGGAAGCCCACAGGGCACTTTCATCAAAGATATTTTTTGTAGATGTGGATTTACAGGCAGCACACAGGAGAATACTTCCTCAATCTAATGGCTTGTAAGCGGCCTATAGGATAGTTTTTTGACAGTTAATTATAGGTCCACAGGAGGCCCGTGGGGTTTTTTTAACATACTGTCTATGAGCAGTCCATACGGTTTTCGTGAAGTACTGGTCTATAGGGGTTTATGGCAATTTTATCTAACATATAAAGAATCGTAAGCGCAATTCAAAAATGTGCAAATAGCGGGAAACCGCGCGGCGGTCCCGAAGCGAACGCTCTTCCAAATAGCACCTTTAGATTACTGGTTCACTAGTCTAAAAATATTGTTTGTGGAGGCTTTGCAAGGCACCAAGATAACGTTCCATAAAATCTGCGTCTTGACAGAATTTAGATTGTCAGGAAAATTTGGACCAAAGAGGATTCATGAGAGGGAGTCAAAAGTAATCGACTGATCATTTTCATGCTGATCAAAATTCGCAAGATATTGGATAAGACAGCGGTAGAAAATCCTGCCATGGTTTTTTTGGAAAGAATATCTTTTTTTCATAATGCGATTCTCATTATAACTTCATGAACCCGCTTGAAGGGCTCCTTGAAAACTCACCTTGTAAACAAATGGTGAGGCGAGAATCTTATTTTATAAATTTCTGAGGAGAGGGGATTTTGATGAGAAAGCGTGGCAAAATATTGATTTTGTTCCCAGAATCTCATATGCTTTTGATAGGACCTTCAAGAAGTCTTGAATGATTTGTGGAATTCTCCGTTGCTGCAAGACCCCCTCATAAAACTGAGTTTTCACAACCAGCTTTGAGAAAAGGTATAAAATGTAGAGACATCCGTGACCACAGCTAGGCGGCTTATGAAGTGTTTGCCCCGACCAATCTGTTAACGGCCTATAGGGTTGCTAGTATATATGGGGAACAGTCACTACATATCCAATCCTTCATTGTCTTCTTTCTTTACTTCACCTTCACAGTCTATCTTTCGCATTTTGTGTGTGTAAACACGTGGAAAAAGGATTCAGTAGCCCCTCACCGTTTGCGATCACATTATTGATCTGCGATTTTGTACGACCTTTCGCACCCAGTTGAACCATGGCAAGTGCGAAGATGACCGAGACTGGGGATACTATCATTGATTTGGTTACAGGAGTTTGCCGAAGCATGTTCAAACCAAAGTTCATTTCAGAGACTTGCATGGAGGCACTGCAAATGCATTGTTTAGCATTGTATAAAGCATAAATTAGTTGATTATAAGAGTGAAACCTCTCAAAGCTCGGGGGTGACAACGCTTCCATATCGTGTCGAAGAGAGCACCAGCGATGTTTTCAATGTAGAAAAGACGCAAAGCAGCAATACTTCCCTAACAAATGCTGTGCTTTACCAGAAAATGTCATTTAATAACGAATCATTTACATTCGTCGAGTTTTTATGGCCATTTTGTTGGCTCTTATGTCTAAAAAAGAATTTAAAAATGCAAAAGACGATCACGAGATTAAGCATCATCGTTTATGGCATGTAAGAAACTATTCCTCCACCATTAGTTTGGAATTTCACCAAAATTCGAAACAATTTTGCTATAATGACGCTCTTTTTGAGAAAGGGCTTGAGCGATTCGAGAGACGATGAATAGTTTGAGGTTTATGCATCCGTATATTCAAGCGTCTCTATCACCGAGAGGAAGCATTTTGCTATATAGAAGATGTGATATTCTTCTAACCATAACCATTTATTCAAAGAAATTTTTACGGGTCCACCCCTCGTCATGAGGAAGAAATTGGTTTTTTGTGTGTTTTCAAACTTCGTCTCCGATAAAGCATAGCAGTTTGTGCAGTTAGTGGATTATCTGGGTCTACTGGCATAGGAAAGCTGGAAACCAAAAAAACTTCGACTGTTCTGCATGATAGCTAAAAAAGATAGGCCTTATTTCAAATTTCCTCGAAACATTGCTTTAACCCAGCAAGTACAATACCGCTCATAATTCGTCAAAAAAGTCGCCGGACTGCGGCGCACTCCGCCACACTCCGCCCACAGTGCGCCGGAGTGTGGCAGAGTGCGCCGGAGTGTGGCAGAGTGCGGCGGAGTGCGGCAGAGTGCGCCGCAGTCCGGCGACTTTTTTGACGAATTATGAGCGGTATTGTAGTCTTTGAAGCTTATCCAGTGAGATATCGAGTTGTTTCAAACGTTCTGCCCGAATTTTATTCAAAAAAATCAATGCGAGCGCAGCAGTTTGTGTTACCATCAACTTGAAAATTCTTGTTTAAATTGAGTTCTGGTAGTGATATGACATTGTAACACTTCAAATTATCGCAGCAACATCGAGGAAGATTTTTATGCAAAAGTCCCCAGGCATTTTTTTCATTAAAAAAACCCTAGTACGAGAAATCATGACTCAAACTTTAATGTAGAGAATATTGCAAGCACTGCTTATGTAGTCGATGGTAAGCTAATATTAAAGTTGGATTTTCGATGATATTTTCTACAAGAGGTTTGAAATTTTAAGGATCTACAGGATGGCTGAGAAGTATGGGCGTACATCCACAAATGTAAATCTTCATTAAATATTGAAATAATTTTTATCATGTCCCTGTCACAAACAAAGCTTGAATATCGATATTTAAAGATATCGTTCGAAATGGCCTGCTCTGGCCCTACTCAGGAGAGTTTTATCTTTACTGAGACGACCTTGCGGCGCAGATAATCAGTAGCAATTTTCGTCCAGCCACCTTCCAATTCGTTGCGCAGACACTCCAGACTTGTGATATTCTTTCCCTTCAAACTGTTCTCTAGCACACTCCACATGGAAAAATCATTGGGTTCAAGCCAGGACTGTTGCACAGCCAAAGTTCCTCGAGCAGGTATTCATCTAGGTTAGCTGAAAGATTAGCTGAAAGATATTTTAATGTCGAAATCGCCGAATGCGCTGGTGTCCAGTCTCGCTGGAAAATCATCTTTGGATGATTTTTTTCCATGGAAGGACGTACTTTTCTGAAATTTCTTCTTAGTACACAGTGGCTTTGATGTTGACATTTTTTGGCATGAAAACAAGCGGCGTCTTACTCGCTAAGATTCCTGCACAGACCATCAGATTGGGAGGAGAAAGTGACTTTCAGTAATTTTTCGCTTTGGTTACTGTTTATCCTTCGGACTGATTAGCTGACGGTCATTCAGGGGATTGCGACACGCTTTGATGGTGAACATTTTTCATCTGTAAACAAAACATTCTGAAGGCGGCGCACCTCGAAAAATTTTAACAATTTCGTGCATTTTTCCAAACGACTCGCTTTTGCCGCACTGCTCATTTGGTGTCCAGTAAGCATTCAGTAGCTTCGAGTCCCAATTCATCTTTTACTGTAGCTTGGACCGACGAGCGTGCTATGTTCAGGTTTTTCGCGATGCGCTTCAGGGTGACCTCGTCGTTCCTGCAAATACTCTTCTGATAATTCCTCGAATTTTTCTTGTGTTCTTCGTTCGCAGACGATCAGTTTACGGCTTTGGAGCAACATCTCCTTCTTCTTTCCTTGTTTGATAATTTTCTGGACCGTCTTCAGAGACGTGTCTAGCTTCGTTGGGATAGCTGCCGCCGACTCGCCGTGTTCAGCCAATCGAGCATTGACTTCGCAGTGGGGGCACGTCTTCATATTTTCTTGGTAATTAGACGACCGCTTGTTGCAAACATGAAAAATAATTTTTTTTGCACCACTAACAATCAATGGGACACAATCAAACATAGCGCCCATATTCTTCGGCCGCTCCGTACTGTCGCCATTTCTATAAGGCGCAGAAAAGACCCTTTGAATTTTCCATCTTTTCCGCAGCTGCATTTCAAAAGTTTTTCTCTGGTATTGCATGTTTAAGGGCTACAATTAGTATACAGAGCGAAAAAACCATATTATTGGGCTTATGTTCTGAATTTATTGCGATTTTAGTGCATTTATAAGAATCACAACATATTATTATGCTGATAATTCGTAACCACAATAGCTTACGGTCAAACTAAGAATATGTAAATTTGAGATTTTTTGAAAGAAATCTCGATCATAATTTGTTGCACAAGCCACAGAAAAGACATGTGTTGCGAATGAATTGCTCTCACTCTAAGGTGAATTTTGCTAAAATAGAGCAGAAATGAAGAATGCAGCATTGTTTTACTGTCTTTCAAGGCACAGAGCTGCACGAGTTAAGCTTTCGAAAGAGAAAAAAAGGGATATATGCGAAAAATTATAGAGAAAAAATAAAACAGAGGTTTTGGACGATTCAAGCTGTACTATTGTAGAGTTTTTCCTGTCAGAATTAGAGTTCACTAAAAGGCATAAAAGATTCGGAATGTTCAAAAAAAGGAGAAAAATGTCGTTCTATACGAATATTTGCGGTTGATAGGTATACGTTATACCTACCATACCCTCGAGCCACGTACTCTGGTAACCTTCACTTTGAGGACTATGAGGGGACACAACCTTTACCTGAAAAAAAAACAGAAGTCATCCGGGCGAAGCCCTGGATGCTATTATCCTGGCTATATCGGAACGAATGTTGCGAAACCGAGAATTTGCGTTTCAATGCCATTTTTTAAGTTAAGAAGAAGTTTCTGTAAAATTTTTGCCAGAATTTGGGACAACATTTCTCAGGTAATCTCTTATTTGACCAAAATTGAGTTTCAAAAGTTTAGAAAAGCTGTTGGAGTTGAATAAAAAGAGAAACTGCGCTCAAATCTTGCGCAGAGAGTCGCGCACGAAAACGCTGGTTGTCTTGTTAATGAGTGATTTTCAAAGCTTGAAACGTCGTCACTCCTAGTTGTGTCATGACGATCAGAATGATATATAGTGTTGCAAGGTTTCGTTGAGACTCCGCGGAGATCTACGACCAGAGCCAAATGCCCCGTCGGCTCTGGTCCGCCTCCGCTGCTCGTCTGCATCTCCGCGCGCTGCGCGCTACCTCGCTACCCAAGCGCGGGGCGCGGGGCACTTGGTTGTGGTACCCTTTTCTTCACTGTTTCGAATCCAAATTCGGCAAGCTATATATCATTTTGAAGCTCTTGATCTCTATTTTTACCATGACAACGTCCCAAAACCATATTTTTTGATTTGATTGAGAAATCCGGCAAAGACCTTGTTTTCGAAAATCTTTTGTTCTTCTCCTAGTTCAACTATTTTCACGCGATTTTTTAGTGCATTCTATAGATCTTGCTTCTGGTTCGCACACAACCATCCAGCTCTTATTCCTTCGATTATGGTGGATTTTTTGCAAAAAAATCGTAGAAAGTGCGTTTTTCTTTACCTTATTCTGTTTCAGTGCTTTCGCAGCGATCTTTTCCACTTTAGGCGACTGTTGCTCGGAACAATAAGCGCAACAATCCAGACAGCGTCCCAGGAAACAGGATCGTCGATTCGGGGTAAAAATTCAAAGGACGCATCAAAAGTGAATTTGGCTTCGACGTTCTTTTCGACTTAGTAAAAAAGAAACTTTGCGTTTTCATAATCAATTTTTTTCTTGTTTATCTTCTTTTTGATAACCACTCCTTCCGAAACATGTTTTTTTGAAACAGTCACTAAAAAACTAGCTCTTCTTCGCTTTCCCCGTGTTGCGATTCGCTTGTCCTGAAGCGAAAACTTGCACTTTAAAAGCCGTCAAATGAAAGAAACCCGCAAACCTCATTGCAGCGCTTTTATCCGGTTTCGGCAGTATCTTCTGCTTTTTATATCTGTTTTACGTCGTTTTCTCTTCTCTGATCTTCTTCAAACAGCGTTCACTTTTTATGAGTTCAAATGTTTAAGCAACTTCACTTTTGACGCACTGTCTCCATCGACTATCGAATGTATGGGTATTACTGATATTATAAAAAGTTGATTACTGGTTTTTCAAGTGCGTGCCTTTTTCGTTTTCCCGATCGAGCTCTAATGAATGTCAGCTTTGCAGAACGGTAAGAAATGGTATTTCTCGCTTGTCTAGCATGGGCTAAGGTATTGTTTCTGTTGTGTTAGATTAGATTGTAGGTCAATCTTCAACACCATTTTCTTGACTTCGAAGTTTCTGTTATCTATGGATTATATTTAAGGTACCTGTAGGAGCCTGTTTGGTTGGTTCTCAGTTGTGTTCAACCGCTCGGGATTCGCCCTTCATTTGCATAGATTCTAGTCTTGAAAGAGCCACTTCAGGTTTAGCAACGTTAATTCTCGAACTTATTTAGCTGTTTCCAGCTTGATGGGGGACTATACCAGAAAGTGGTTCCACGCAAACATCTGCAAAAGACCTACAGACGATACGAAAGGCGCCCTGAGTACCCACATCGTTCTCGCTATCACCAGGCACCGTAGGCGGGATCCAATGTGCAGAGTTTATTTCTCTTCTCTTTGCTGAATGAGCAATAAAAATTTTTCCCCTA